TGCCTCAGGATGAATAGACCTCAAGTCTCTTCCATATCTGATGGAGATGATATTCAGAGAAGATTTCTTTTTCTAGATTTTAGAGTCAACGCTAGATTAATTAAACTTTTAAATCTATTGAGATAGCATGAATGTACGTGGCATGTGAGAACATGAGATTTGGAAGGCCAAGGTTGGAATGTTATGAACTGAACTGTTTACAATTTCTAAAAAAAAATTATTGTGAAAGCCTAATTCCCAGTGTGATAGTATTTGGAGATGGACATGCTGGGTGATTAGTGACAAGAATTAAGTCTCAAGATGGGATCAATAACCTTATGAAAGAAACTAGGAGAGAATTTTCTCCCTTTTATACTGTTCTTTTCCATATGAAGATGCAATGAATAGAAAGCCATCTGAAACCCAGGAAGAATACTGAATGCCAATCATTCTGAGAAATGCTGTAGTAATGAACAAGTCTGAAGGATAATTAAGTAATTTGTTACCATAACAAACATACCGGAACACTGAATTTTGTAGATTTTTTTACTTATTTCAGAGATATCATAGAAATTTTATTTTGAGAGTACTTTAATAGATGAAAAAAATGTTGGGCTACTTTTGGAATTATATTTTGAAAGATTTTGATGTTAAGAAAATCCCAAAAATCTTTAGTACAAAGTTTGAATAATATGATCAGTAGTATGATTAAGCTAATAGTAATAATATTTGAAATAAAAATAATTTACAAATCATAGAGTACAGTAATTGAGCATAATTTAAAATGTTGAGTAATTCATGTGCTTTCTCTCATACTTATTTTTAAGGCTGGTATTTTGGTTTTGCCTTCTTTTTCTTCATATTAAGTAATCAGAAATAATAATGATTAAATTTTGCTCTTTATACATGATGTTTCTTTCACTTAATAATCTTATCTCTTTTTAAGTTTGTTTGTTTGTTTATTGGTACCTAGGTTGAACTCAAGGACACTTAACTGCTAAGCCACACTCTCAGCCMTGTATTTTTATTTAGAGACAGGGTCCCACTCAGTTGCTTAGGGCCTCACTTTTGCTGAGGCTGGCTTTGAACTCGAGATCCTCTTGTGTCAGCGTCCCAAGCCACTGGGATTACAGGCTAGCTCCACCATGCCGGGGGCTTCTCTTTAAGTGTATACTTCAAATTCTCCATGTGCCATAACCACAACACACACACACATACACACACACACACACACACACACACATAAAATATGCAAAAAAGTAAAACATTATGTTCCAACTTCATACCTGACAAAATGTCAATATAGCATCTTATAATAAAACCAAGTTCATGACCTATAGAAAAAAAAAAAAAAAAATATATATATATATATATATATATATATATATATATAAGATTCAGGCTTTTCTAACTCAAAAGACTTTATTTATTAAAAGTCAACTTTTTATTAATGCAGTTAAAACTGTTAGCCATCATTATCTTTCCTGTTTTTATATAAAACCAATATTTAGTCTTATGTCTGATATAAACAGTGAATGAGCACACATTTGCAATGGTCTTAGAAGTAGATCTGATGCTATCAGTGCCTCTGATCTGACACAGATGCCATTAGTGAATTGTGTAATGTATGTAAGGTGAAATTTTTTCACAGCAGGGAAAAAAGGTAAAAATTTGAAATGAGCTAATGCAAGCCGGCCCAATTTTCCACTCTGTGGCACACATTGATGGCCCTCATAATTCATACCTAAGGGAAAGCACAAGCTAGGCAGGAGAGGTCTGAAACCAAATAAGCCCCACTGTATTAGTGAAAGTGCCGATTAAAAGAACATGTTGCACTATCAACAAGAAATCATGAGTGCATCAGGGCATGGTTGAGAAGGAAAATAATTCAGTTTAAGAGGGCTAAAAATCCCTAGTTCCTAGTTAAAAGTAATTCAAGCACATAGCAAAATAAACAAATTCAACAATATTTGAGGTTTATGATCAAAGATAGTCTGAAGGGGAGAAATGACAATGGGATGATACACGAAAGCTTTGCTTTCAGAGCTTCTGAAAAAGAAAAAAAATCTGTTTCAGAAAAGTATCACACAGGGGAGAAAAACAAAGCTTGCTCTTCAGCCCTCATGGCTAAACTATTGCTTTGCATTGATTTTTATATATGTTACATTTTTCTAAGAATGTCACATTATCTTTAATTTTTATCTTCTTTTTTTTGTTTGAGTCATGTATACAGCAATGTTCAATTTAGTTTCATTGACAGTGTGTATGCCCACATGTTATTTAGGAATTTGTTGATATGTCACCAATGGACAACAAATCAGTAGAGATTAAAAAAAATTATTCTTTCTTCCTCTTGATGATGGAGCCTCTCCCAAACTTCCCCATATAAAAATAGATACTGATTTCTTTTTCAAAAATTGTCTATTTAAAAATAATTCTAGTGAATATACATTAACATTCTAAACACCTTGCAAATGAACATATCCATTAATTTTTTTATTAATGTAATTATCATGGATCACCATGCCCTTTTTTTGGACATGAAAAATAAAATAGGACAATTATAAATAATCCTGAGAAATTATAAGAAAAAGGCTAAAGCCATTACACACACAATACAGGTAAAACCTCACATTTTAGTCTCAAAAATACAAAATAAAATAAAAATTATTGAATTTTGCCCAAGGCTCCTTTATTAGTGTTCCACATGGACTAAATGACAAAAAAAATAGGCAGTCTCAATTCTACTTCTTCAATCCTCTCTCTATCCCTTTCATTATGAAGGCTGTGGAATCTGAATTTGTCCCCGATACTGTAATTTCATAGATGCCAAAAACACCAGGTGTGAGAAGATAGCAAAGATGAGGTGCAATTTCAAAATTTAGTGAATTTCTGATTAAGAAACAATGAGTTTCTAAATAAAGAACGAATTGAACCTCTTAATAAACAGTGTGTTCCTAAGCGGCTTCTGGATTCAAGAGGATAGTGACAAGATAGGTATTTGATGTGGACAGAAAAACCAGAGTTTTGTCATTTGAAAAATATGTGATTTCTGGATAAATTTCTTAAACTCAATGATTCTGGGGAAAAAACATGAAAATTGATGAATCATTCATATGTCCCAAGCATAAAGCTTCTTTAAAGAAGGAGTTCTTATTATTACATCTGATATAAAATTATCTTGCAACTTGGCATTATCTTTGGCCCAACATAAACATTATGATGAAAGTTTAATTCTGAACTCAGAGTTCATTAGATTGAATATACTAGGTTTATACAAACAAAACAATAAATAGCATGTTCAAAACAGGGTTCATAAATCTGATTATTTTCTTTTTATATGCATTTTCAGTACTTGCACTCTCACATTTTTATTTGTGTGAATATCAATTATTCACATGAAATACAGTAGAAATTAATGAAACAATATGCAATTTAAATATGTTCTAAGCCCAGGTTATTCTGAGTATTTTTTAAGTAAATTATAGATGTTAGTTTATTTTGTTATTTTAAATTACTACTAAGATAAAATGGAAGAAAAATATTTTGAATGTTAATCATACTGACCATAATTTGTTTACGATTTTATTAATGTGATAACAATATTATCATCATGACAGTCCAAGTGGTGCCTGCCTGTAATACCAGCAGTTTAGGAGGCTGAAGCAGGAGGATCACAGTTTAAAACCAGCATCAGCAATTTTTTGAGACACTAAACAACCCAGCAAAATCCTTTTCCTAAATAAAATGTAAAGAAGGGATAGGGATGAGGCTCAGTGGTTAAGCATCCCTGGGTTCAATCTCTGGTTCCCCACCCCCACAAAAAAAATCAAAAATATTCTTGCCTCATCCTGCTTTTTTATAATAATGTATATTAATCAATATAATTTAAAACAGAAAAGAAATATTTTTCTGTTGTCCCCAAAATTCAGAGAAACATATTAAGAAAAAATTCTTGGTATATTTTTAATATCTTTTACATTTCTCACATATCATATATTTATGACTATATAACTGAGTTGGACTAATAAAATATTCTGTTTGAAGTAGTATACAACAAAGTAACCCCATATTGTATTTCTGGGAATCATTGTTTATTATACTAAAATATTAATATATTAATAAATATATTCTGATAATGTATTTTTCCAGTTAATGAAGAATGTGACATATATTATAGTTCTAACAATGCACTATAAAGACACTAAAAATTAGGAATATGATTAGTGTATCATTATTTTTTGATATTTTGTAATAGGACTGGCAAGACAAATCTTGGGGTTTCTCTGTATTTTAGGCCAATTTGATGACTTCAACCAGGAATGTAAATAATTTAATAGAAGACCTGTCACATTCATATGCTCAATCAATATGATTTCCCTTTTGGTCTCTGTCCTATGCTGACTTGCTTTGAGTTTTTAGACCCTCTTTTTCTATAGATATACCTTTTATCTTAAGTTTAGAAATTATGTTCATAGCACATATATTCCAAATCCTCCTCTAATTGAGTAATCATCTTATTTGGGTAATTACTTCTCAATTATTCATCCTAGCCCTATGTGTTTCATGCAGAGTTTAAACTTTTTATCAGTGTATACATTTTTTTCAAGAATTTATTTAGCAGATTGAAATGTTTTCATTGCCCCACTTTGGATTGTTTTGTTGTCCAGATTCCCTAAAGTCAAACTACAACACTATAAAATAAATACTGTTTATTACCTATTTGCTTAATAGATGAAATTTGTCTGTAATATTTACTTTTTAGACCATGATAAATTTGGTCATGTCATTTGTAATATTGATGTTAGCCAGTCATTTCAGTTCAAATTAAATCTTGAGAAAAAGAAAAACAAACATGTTATTTCAAATTACTTGCATTTTTGTAAGACAACTCAGCATAATTCTTGGACTCTAATGATGGGTTGAAATCAAATGGATATTTAAGAACTTTGGGATTAATTCAGCCATGCAAATTTACAAAGGCCAAAAGTTTCATAACTTAAGTTATTTAAAGAATTTTAGTGCTTGCTTTGGGAGCGCATATACTAAAATTAGAATGATACACAGAAGATTAGCATGGTCCTTGTGCAAGGATGACACACAWATTTGTGAACTGTTCCATATTTTTACATATCAAAAAGAACATGCACCACGATAAAGTGGGATTCATCCCAGGGATATAAGGTTGGTTCAACATATGGAAATCAATAAATGTAATTCATCACATCAATAAACTCAAAGATAAGAATCATATGATCATCTCAATAGATGCAGAAAAAGCATTTGACAAAATACAGCACACCTTCATGTTCAAAACACTAGAAAAACTATGGATAACAAGAACATATCTCAACATCATATAGGCTATCTATGCTAAGCCCCTGGCCAACACATTCTAAATGGAGAAAATTTGAAGGCATTCCCTCTAAAGTCTGGAACAAGACAGGGATGCCCTCTTTCAMCACTTCTATTTAACATAGTTCTTGAAACACTGGCCAGAGCAATTAGACAGATAAAATAAATTAAAGAGATACAGATAGGAAAAGAAGAACTCAAATTGGCACTATTTGCTCATGAAATGATTCTACACCTAGAAGAACCTAAAAGTTCCACCAGAAAACTTCTAGAACTATTAAATGAATTCAAAAAAGTAGCAGGATATAAAATCAACACTCAGGGATCAAATGCATTTCTGTATATCAGTGATAAATCCTCTGAAAGGGAAAAAAAACTACCTCATTTACAATAGCCCCCCCAAAAAAATTGGGAATCAACTTAATGAAAGAGGTGAAAGGTCTATATAATGAAAATTACAGAACCCTAAAGAAAGAAGTCAAAGAACACCTTAGAAGATGGAAAGATCTACCTTGCTCTTGGATAGGCAGAATTAATATTATCAAAATGACCCTGCTACCAAAAGCACTATACAGATTTAATGCAATTCCCATCAAAATCCCAGTGACATACCTCATAGAAATAGAAAAGCAGTCAAGAAATTCATCTGGAAAAATAAGAGACCCAGAATAGCTAAAGCAATCCTTAGCAGGAAGAGTGAAGCAGTTGGCATCACAGCACTAGACATTAAACTACACTAAAGAGCAATGGTAACCAAAACAGCATGGTATTGGGACCAAAACAGACTGGTAGATCAATCATACAGAATATAGGACACAAAGACTAACCCACAAATAACAATTATCTTATATTAGACAAAGTCTCCAAAAACATGCATTGGAGAAAAGATAGAATCTTCAACAAATGGTGCTGAGAAAACTGGAAATCTATATGAAACAAAATGAAATTAAACTCCTATCTCTCTCACAATGCACAAAACTTAATCAAGAACCTAGGAATAAACCCAGAGACTCTGCTTCTAATAGAAGAAAAGGTAGACCCTAATCTTCATCAGGTGGGATTAGGCCCTAACTTCCTTAATAAGACTCCTTTGGCACAAGAATTAAAACTAAGAATCAATAAATGAGATGGACTCAAATTAAAAAGTTTCTTCTCATCAAAAGAAACAATTAGTGAGGTGAATAGAAAGCCTACATCTTGGGAGCAAACTTTACCCCTCACACATCAGATAGACCACTAATCTCTAGGGTATATAAAGAACTAAAAAAGCTAAGCACATGCACACAAAACAAACAAACAAACAAACAAACAAAATAGCAATCAATAAATGAGCCAAGGACCTGAACAGATACTTCTCAGAAGATGATATACAATCAATCAACAAATATATGAAAAAATGTTCATCATCGCTAGCAATTAGAGAAATGCAAATCAAAACCACTCTAAGATTTCATATCACTCCATTCAGAATGGCAGCTATTATGCATACAAAAAACAATAAGTGTTGGTGAGGATGTGGGGAAAAAGGCACACTCATACACTCCTGGTGAGGCTGCAAATTGGTGCATACAATATGGAAAGCAGTATGGAGATTTCTTGGAAAGTTGGGAATGGAACTACCATTTGACCCAGCTATCCCTCTCCTCGGTCTATACCCAAAGGACTTAAAAACAGCATACTACAGGGACAGAGCCACATAAATGTTTATAACAGCATAATTCACAATAGCTAAATGTGGAACCAACCTAGATGCCTTCCAATAGATGAATGGATAAAAAATAATGTGGCATATGTACACAATGGAATATTACTCATCAATAAAAGAGAATAAAATCATGGCATTTGCAGGTAAATGGATAGAGTTAGAGAAGATAATGCTAAGTGAAGTTAGCAACCCCCCAAAAACAAATGGAGAATGTTTTCTCTGATATAAGGAGGCTGATTCATAATGGGGCTGGGAGGGGGAGTGTGGGAGGAGTAGACAAACTCTAGATAGGGCAGAGGTGGGAAGGGAAGGGAAGGGAGGGGCCATATGGTTAGAAATGATGGTGGAATATGATGGACATTACTATCCAAAGTACATGTATGAAAACACATATTGGTGTGATTGTACTTTGTATACAACCAGAGTAATGAAAAATTGTGCTCTATATGTGTAATAAGAATTGTAATGCATTCTGCCATAATATATAAATAAAAAAAAATTAATTAAAAATATAAATGAGGGCTGGGGATGTGGCTCAAGCGGTAGCGCGCTAGCCTGGCATGCGTGCGGCCCGGGTTCGATCCTCAGCACCACATACCAACAAAGATGTTGTGTCCGCCGAGAACTAAAAAATAAATATTAAAAAAAATTCTCTCTCTCTCTCCTCTCTCTCTCTCTMWAAAAAAAATAAATAAAAAAATAAAAATAAAAATGAAAAAATAATAAAAAATATTGTGTAATATGAAGAGCTAAAACTTAAAATGAAAAAAGACGAGGGAAAAAAGTTAGCATCAGTACTGCCAATTTGTCCATAGACCTTCAGTACAGACTCCTGTACATGCTATACATGTGGACCCATGTTCTTTGACAGACACTTTCCACTGTGCCTTGAAAGTACCATTTCTCTAAAGAAATGTATTTGAGAAGATTTTGGTCTTTTTATTTTGTAAATAGAAGATAAATAAGTGTAAGAACTCAGGGCCTGAGTTATACAACAGCTTCTGTTTGTAATAAAAACTAAAAATAATCACAACAATAACAAAAAAAAATGCAAAACATAAAAACAGAATCTTAAGACTTGCAGACTTGGGGCTGGGATTGTGGCTCAGCAGTAGAGTGCTCACCTAGCAGGTGTGAGGCCCTGGGTTCTATCCTCAGCACCACATAAAAATAAATAGATAGATAGATAGATAGATAGATAGATAAATAAATAAATATAAATGTGTTGTGTCCAACTACAACTGAAAAATAAACATTTAAAAAAAGAATCGCAGACTTTAATCTTTTAACTGATTACTTTACAAAGCCTTATTAATATCAGATTATAACATAAATTTTAAATACTATATTTATTAACTGGAACATAACAAACTTTTTGTCAAATTAATGCTATGAGAGTACTGATTATTTCTCTTTATGTAGTTGCAGATTTTACTTTGCATGTGTTTCTTAACTAAGATATCTGAGATAACTAATTCACATGGACTAATGTCTTAATTTTTCAAGAATCAATTGAAACACAATTAAAACAGTGTTTTGACTCTGTTTCCCAAGACCTTCAAAATTATAACCACCTTTTTTGGTAAAGCATAAGTTCCCCTTCTATGATGAATATTTGCCTGAAATGTTCAACATATGCGATCATTTTTTTCTAAATCTATAAAGCATGTATTTCTTGTATTACACTATTTGGCATTATGTAAACTTCATAATGTGCAATCAATATTTAAACTCTTTATATTCATATTTTTATCTCTCTATCCCCCAAAATATTATATTCTTGCAGGTCAAAGAATGTGACTTGCACTTTACTTTTATGTGCCCAAATATTAATATAAATCTGTAAGTAAGACAGACATGATTTTGGGAACTGTGCTTTGGTGTCAGAAATTTGAATTTACACTAACTGTTTGACCTTGGAGAACTCAATTGGTATTTCTGAACATTACTTTTTTATTGTACATAGATTTTATGATATTAAATTCATAGAAATGTTATAATAAAATTAAACATGTATGGGAAATAATATTGAAATCACAAAGTCTAGAGAAATTGTTTACTCTAACAAAAATTATGTTTAAACAGACTAAAGAGTTTTTATCTTTGAAATGACTGACTTAGRAGTGTGTACAAGGAACACTGAGAGACAGATATAATACACTTTGACAAATATCAATAAGTTCTATTATTTTCTACATATACATTTTTAAGAAAAATCATCCATCCTGCAGCATCAGCACCTTTATTGGTTTCTCATGGAAATATGACTATTGACTATTTCTGCATTTCTCAAAATCATGATACTATATGCAATCTGACATACATATGTTTCATTTTTCAGTTATACAATTCTAGCCTTTATTTCTAATAACCCAGATACCAAGTTATTCAGTTTGACTTTTTCTAATATTGCTAGCAAGTTGCAACTTATGTATTGCATTGTATGACAGATATAGATATTTGACACACTAAAGATTGCTAGAGAAAAACAAACCTGGATATGAGTTTCAAGATATTCTGTTATTAAAGAAATTAAAAGAGAAAAGTGATAATATTTTCTTTCAGTAAGTACGAAGGAAATTCCAGTTTTTATATCTATGCCCATAAAAACATAATATGCCCAATAATAGGCTCAACTTGCTGATTTTAAAATGCAAAGCTGAGACCTTTCTGATCTTAAAACTGTAAACACTATAATACCATAACTCCAAAGTTTGTTCAGGAGTCTCTCAGAAGGATCTAGAAAATTATGGCAGGAGCAACCATTTATCTCTCATGGAGACAGCAGAAGTTTCATTTCTCTTTCTATTTTACTGTATAAATGGATGTGAATTTCTGTACAGATTTAGTCTTCAGTGACTGCATGTGTGTAATCTGACAGGCATACTCAATAATTCCTTACATACCTCTTCTCTGTTGATGCAAAATTGTAGAAGTTAGACATGATTTTCTGTTTTCTTAATAAAACTATATTTCCACCATTTCTCCAAGAATTCAAAGTTGTTTTAATCATCAAGAAAATTCTTATTATGGTTCAGATGGAAAGGAAAAATACAACAATCTGTAAG